CAGAAAAGATATGATGGTCCTCTAATGCCTCCCTAAATTTTATAAACGCGCGCGAGTAACCAAATAAAAGCTTCATAGAAAGTATCTAAAACGCACCGTGCTGACACCGGTTACCGTAGCGACCTGATGGACAATCGCAACAACCCTGCACCGGATCGCATTTTGCATTGCCATAACATTCACAGTCCAGAGTGCAATTGGGTCCGTATTTGCCATGCGGACATGGCTGATCACACGTCGACCCGGTATATCCCAGTGAGCACCTGTAGTGAAAATGACAAGTCCTGCGTTCACCTGCTAACATTGCATAACTCTTACAAGTTCCAAAGCCAGGTGACAGTACACCAGGCTTGCCGACACGATCATGAGTTTTGCGCTATATTTGAAGCAGTCAAGCCGTTAAAAATATGAATGATTGCTGCTTTACATTAAGTTGTACTTTCATTATCACATGCTAGGAAACGAATAATTTCCATTAACCAGTCATTCACTGAAAATGATCTGGCTGTTTTAGTTTCCGAGTTAGCAATTTGCTCACCAAAACTTTCACATGCCCATTACGTGAGACGCAAACACGTATGGAACTTGATATTATATTCTTGGGATCACAGTTGACCAGAGAACCGAGTGACAAAATTTCAATACCTAATTTTGCTTGGTTACCAAGTTGGAATACTCGGGCAAACAAACACACATACACACAGAGTTCAAATATTTATGCATTTTCGCTGAGTTGAAATACTTGGTTGTCGAGTTGAAATAGTCGTGCGTGCCTGCAGACTGTTACAGCGCAACAGCACAAAAACGCATAAAAACTAGACGCGCGATTTACTATAAATTCAAAATCACCAAAACCGCTCGGCAGTCGGTGAGGGTGCCTCACTTTAGTGACGGTCGGTGAGGGCGAGGGATGCCCCCACACGCCAACTGTGCGAGGCCTTTCGATTCTGGGCGGCACACTTCCAGCACCTCAACTGTCTACTCAAATGTTTGTGCGCCATCTCTTCGGGAGCCATCCAAGCGTTTATTTCCTCGCGAATATTAGTCTCAAAACTGGAAATACAAAGGGAAATCTCCAGCACACCTGCAAATACCAGACACTGGATCACAATGCGCCTGATTAGCACATCGACATTTTTCGCGACATCCCGGTCCGAAGCGTCCCTCCGAGCACACCTGATGACATCGAATACCGGTAAAACCAGCAGCGCAGCGGCACTGTCCTGTCACTCGATCACAAGTGCCGCCATTCTCGCAATCACAAAACTTCTCGCATTTTTCACCAAAGCGATTGGCCGGGCATGTTATTTCACATTTGGTACCAATGAAGCCTGCTGGGCAAGTGCACTGTCCTGTTTCTTTGTCACATATTCCACCATTTGTACACTGACAAATGTGATCACAGTTCACACCAAACCGTCCTTGTATACATCCTGAAAGCACTGCGGGTCAAAAGTAAGAGCTTGAGCAATGAACTTGGTTCTCCGTGTGACATATATTGACAGCTGCTGTTACCAAATCTTGATTACACAACATATATTGTTATTTTTGTTATTGTCATACTGTTATCAGCATACATTATGCAGCACGTTATTGTCGTAAGCCATCCTGTTAGTAAGTCTTGCTATCAATCAGATCAAGAGGGCAAAACCCAGTATTCACTCCCGAAAAAAGGCGCTAACATTCGTAAGAATCTCGAGAGTAGCAAGTGCCAACAGCAAACCCGTCAGTAAGGCAAACCCGCTGATTCGATGATCAATCGAGTATATGTAGAATTATTGTTATAAGTGAGCAGCAATACAGCCGGTACCCAAAAAAAAAAGTAATAATTGGCCAACGCACGGGCTGCCCGTGCGAAGACGCGTTCTTTGCATAGTTCCCCGCAGTTTTTGTCGTTATCGGCACCGATTTTTTCGACAAATGCTTCTAGCTAAAAAGACTGACCGCCAGAACTGTTAAGAAACTTCCCCTTAAAATTTCAGCTTTCTACCCTTTTTCGCTCCTGAGTTAGCAACTTACTGGAAGAAAACTTTCACGGACCCGCACGTGGGTATCACGCAAACCCGGGGGCTGGGTTTGAGCCCACTGTTACCTTCTTGGACGGAGAATATTTCCTTAAGATTTCAGCTTTCTAGCTTCTCAGATCCCCGAATTACGAAATTACCCGAAAAAAACTTTGGCGGCCCGTACGCGGGTACCACGCCTACCCGGAGGCCGGGTATAAGCTCATTATTATCTACTTGGACTGGAAACCTCTTAATATTTCAGCTTTCTAGCATCACAGATTCCCGAGTTATGAGCTTACCCGGGAAAAATTTTGGCAGGCTCGTACGCGGGTACCACGCTTACACGAGGGTTGGATTTGAACCCATTAGTACCAACTTGGCCGGGGAACAGTCCCTCAATATTTCAGCTTTCTGGCATCTCAGAACCCGGAGTCATGAACTTATCCGGGAAAAACTTTGGCAAGCTCGTACACGGGTACCACGCTTACCCGGGGGTTGGATTTGAGCCCGCTAGTACCAACTTGGCCGGGGAACATCCCCTTAATATTTTAGCTTTCTAGCATCTTAGATCCCCGAGTTATAAACATACACGAGACTCGTACGCGGGTACCACGCTTAGCCGGGGGCTGGGTTTGAGGTCATTAGTACCCACTTGGATGGAGGACATTCCCTTAAAATTTCAGCT